AGTTCCAATAATTATTCCATATTTTGCTATTTTAATTTCGCTTTTTGAATACTGGTATTCACTTAGTATTTACAAAAACKTTCAAACTTTGCAAATAAAAAACGAAGCCTGTTTGTATTAAATGGATTAAGCTTTTTATTTTTTCGTATTTCAAAAGAAAAACCGCGGTGAATTTCAAATAACTTATCGCTGAGAAATTCAATATGTTATTCGGTTTGTTTAGAAAGGTATAAAGTAGTTTATGACATTATAATATTGAAATATCYGTATTTGAAGCCGCAGTTTTCCTAAAGAACTTACTATTATGGACAATGTCAGTTTGGTATAGTCGATGTCTTTGGGAGGATTTCATTTGTTTCGATTAGACTTTTTCCTTTCGCATCTTAAAGTAGAAGGCGATGACCAATGTCGATAATTATGGAACATTTCAGTCTCAGCAATTACCTCCCCCCCCTCCCCAGCTCCTTTGTATCGGTCCCTGAACAGGTGGTTTAGTAGTACTTTTACAGGCTTATACGTGCAGTGACTTAACAGAGAATCGATTATCGGGACTGTTTTCACCTTTAGATACAGCAAGGTCTTCACCGAGGAAAGTTCACACAGAAGTAGAGTTAGATAAGTTTCGTTTCTGCTGGCGGTAAGTACAAATAATACAAAACTCTATATTCAATTGTAATTTCTTCTCGATCGACGGCATTTACGTGCAGACGTAATATCTAATCAATAAATTTTTTTTTTCGTGTTCAATTATATGTTGTTATATTAAGCATTGGTAGATGATGCTATCTTGTCTTGTTATCTATAAAATATTTTTCAATATATAATCTAATGTTGAACTTATTGATTTCAAGTCTTTTCCGCGGGCCTTTTATGTTTAAAATGAAACTTCCTGGTTCATTACAACTACTTTAAGACTAAGAATACTTTTTGAGAACTCGAATTAGAAATTTAAAATCTATATATTTTGTACTGCATTTATTTACGGAAAATATTAAAATCTGKCTTGCGCCATATTTTGGCATCCTCTTCAAAGATATCAGATACTGTAGATTGATATGAGATATATTCGTGTAAGAATATTAACAGCTTTAATGATATAAGAAA